TTGAGATTATCATGGAATCATGGAATGGAGGCCACTAGGCCCATCCGATCTATGCTAGCTCTCTGTACTAGCAACTCAGCAGGAATTATGCTCTTCTCCCTGTCACCCTTCACACTGTCCTTTTTGGATAACAATCAAACTCCCTCTTGAATTCTTCAAGTAGACCTGTCTTCACCAAATCTCTAAAGCAGTACTTTAAAGGTCGTAATAAATGAATTTCTTATCTAGTTTAATTGTGAAAACTGGGCTACATGGGCAAGTTGGATTGATGGGCCTGTTTCCATGCTATAAACCTTCATGACTATAGTATCCCGCCACCATTTCTTCCCTTGCCAATTAATTTAATTCTGCACCCTCATCTTCTCAATCCTTGATGGGAACATTTTCTCCTTATTTATTGTATCTAGATACCTCATTAAATATCATTATGAAACATAACCTCAATGCTTCCGTCTCCAAGCTATAGACATAACAAAAGTTCCTAATCCCTGAAATAATTCCCGTGAGTCTTTTCTGCACTCGCTCCAAAACCTTCACTTCCTTCTTAAAGTGCCGTGACCAGAAGTCAAAAGCACTGTTTTGCAGAAGTTGAACATAATGTACTCACCTTTGTATTCTTTGGTAAAACCCGAGATGTTTTATTTTCCACACTATTGATGTGTCATCTACGTTTTTTGATTTGTAGAGTCATAGAGTCATACAGCATGGAAACAGACCCTTAGGTCCAACTCATCCATGTCGACCAAGTTTTCAAAACTAAACTGATCCTACTTGCCTGTGTTTGGCCCTTATCCTTCTGAACCTTTCCTATTCATGTACCTATCCAAATGTCTTTCAAATGTTGTAACTATACCTACATTATCTACCAATTCTTCTAGTAGTTCAGTAGGATCATGCTGATCTGATGACATTCCTCATGTCCACTTCCCTGCTTTTTTTTCCCACAACCCTTGATTCCCCTGACTGATCAAGAATCTATCTATCTCAGCCTTAAATTTACACAAGCATTATGTCCCCACAGCTCTTTGTGGCAAGGAGTTCCAAAGACTCACAGGACTCTAAGGGAAGAAATTCCTGCTTACCTCAGTCTTAAATCGTAGCCCTTTTATTCCAAGCCTGTGCCTCTGGTTGGACACATCCTCTCAACATTTACCCTGTCAAGCCTCATAAGAATCCTATATGTTTCAATGAGATCACCTCTCATTCTGAGAGTCATAGAGTAACACAACATGGAAACAGGCCCTTTGGCCCAAACTGGCCCATGCTAACCATGGTACCCAATCAGCTAGTTCCAATTGTCCGCATTTGGTCCATATCCCTCTAAACCCTTCCATCCATCCACCTATCCAAATGTTTTTTGAATGTTGCTATTGTAACTGCCTCAACCACTTTCCCTGGCAGCTCATTCCATATACACACTACTCTCTGTGTGAAGAAGTTGCCCCTCAGGTCCTTCTTAAATCTTTCCCTTCTCACCATAAACCTATGCCCTCTAGTTTTCAATTCCCCATCCCTTGGAAGAAGAGTCTATACATTCATCCTATCTATGCCCCTCATGATTTTATACACCTCAATAAGGTCACCCTTCATTCTCCTACGTTCCAAGGAATAAAGTCCTATCCTGGCCAACTTCTCCCTATAACTCAGGCCTACTAGTCCTGGCAACATCTTCGTAAATCTTCTTTGCACACTTTCCAGTTTAACTATGTCTTTCCTGTAACAGGATGACCAAAACTGTACACAATACTCCAAATGCGGCCTCACCGGCGACTTATACAACTGTAACATAACGCCCCAACTCCTATACTCAATGCCTTGACCAATGAAGGCCAGCATGCTAAATGCCTTCTTCACCACCCTGTCTACCTGTGATGCCGCTTTCAATGACCTATGTACATGTATTCCTAGGTCCCTCTGTTCCACAACACTCCTCAGGACCTTACCATTTACCTTATAAGTCCAACTTTAGTTTGACTTTCCAAAGTGCAACACCTCACACTTATCTGTATTGAATTGCATTTGCCAATCCTCAGCCCACTTCCCCATCTGATCAAGATCCCTCTGTAATTTTTGATAACCTTCTTCACTATCAACAATGCCTCCTAATTTTATATCATCCACAAACTTACTAATCATGCCTTGTACATTCAAATCCAGGTCATTTATGTAAATGATCTCGATGTGAATGTACAAGGCATGAGTGGAATCCTATCTGTTTAGCCTTTGTTTATAAGACAGTCGCTTCATACCGGGTATCATCCTGGTGGACCTTCTCTGAACGACTTGCAATGAATTTATATGTTTCCTTCAATAAGGGAATAAAACTGCTCATAGTATTCCCTATGCGGCTTCACCAGCACCTAGAACAGTTGCAGTAAGACTTCCCTACTCTTATACTCCAAACTCTTTGAAAGTAGCTTTTTGGATTACCTGCTGCACTTGTGTGCTTGTTCTCTATGTTTCGTGCACATGTGCCCCCAAGTTACTTTGTGCTGCAACTTTCTGCAGTTTTTCGCCATTTAAATAACGTTTTGTTGTTTTGCTCTCTCTTTGAAAAAGAACAACTTTGTATTTTCCCACAATATACTTGATTTGCCAACTTTTTACCAATTTTCTTGAGCTAACAATATCTCTCGGTAGATTGTTTGTATCCCTCTCTCAACCTGCCTTGTCACCTATTTTTAAGTTGTCTGCAATTAATATTATTTGTAAGTTTGCATACTTGCACTATTAAACTGGATCAGTCTTGAAACTGTATCAACACGAAATTGTAGGTATCTGCACTGTTATCTATATTTTTGCTGTATTATTTATATTTTGCTGATCACTGTACCTGTTACGGCAAATATGGAACTCCAAGGAATCTACTCCGAATGTAAAGCCTTCTTTGCGTAGACAAGTCATTAAAATATAGAAGACAATTGAATATGTTACTGACATTTTGAAACAAATGCTACAGAATAGTTGTTTATGTTTTTGTTTAACCTTAGATTTTAATAAATACCACTTGTGAATTTACATGTTGTAATTGTGTTAATAAAACAAAATAAAATACTGTGGATGCTAAAAATCTGAAACATAAACAGAAATTGCTGGAGAAACTCATCTGGTCTGGCACCATCTGTGAAGAGAAAGCAGTTAATGTTTTGAGTCCAGTGGCCTTTCTTCATATATAATTGGGTTATAGTGTTTTTCAAAGGCTGAACTTGGAGGCTGACATTTACAATGAGCAGAAAAGTAAACCACTGAGAGGCACCAAGTTGCAGCAGCAGATTACAAATCCAGGTGCATAAAACTCCCAGATTTGGTCAGACTTCCATAATCACACTCAGTGCCTTGGGGCAGGCAAAGGATCAATCAGCACTGGTTCATCCTCATGATAGTTCAACAATGAAACCCACTGGAAAAAGAAGTTTGAATAAATGAATGCAGCATATCTGGCTTTACCTTGAATGCTAACACATTTGTACAGCTCTGCATATTAGTTAGCAGGGTGGTAGAGTGGTTAGCATTGCTGCCCCAGGGCTCCAGGTTCAATTTTGGCCTTGGACGACTGTCTGTGTGTTTGCACATTCTCCCCATGTTTGTATGAGTTTCCTCCCAAAGTCCAAAGATATGCAGGATAGGTGGATTGGGCATGGTGTCCAGGGATGTGCAGGCTAGGTGAATGGGTGGGATGCTCTTTGGAGAGTTGATGTGGACTTTTTGAGCTGAATGGCCTGTTTCCACCCTAAAGGGATGCTATGGTTCCAAAGAAAGTTCATGCAGTCATAATGTCATTGGACTAGCAATCTAAAAATCAAAGCTAATGCTTTGACCGAAAGAATTGAAATCTCACTACGACCATGGGCAAAAGTTAAAATTGTGATGAATGTATGTTTTGTATTACACTTTGGGGATTTGGATTAAAAAAACAGAGGTAGATAGGTTTTGGTTAGTCCCATGAAGATTTTGTTTTGTTTAAATGCCTTAAACTCATTTGGACAGTAACCTAAACACATCATTTTGATGGTATAAGACTTCAGTCACCTGCCTCATATGCATCTGCAGTGTTAAAAGATTAATTGTTTATACTGTTGAGTTTACAATACAGATTAGAATAATTTAGTTTTTTGAATTCAGAGCAGTCGGTTCAAAATTTTAACTCTGAAGAACACAAGTTCACTTCAGAGGATGAAACAGCTTCTCCCCACAAGAGAATCAAGGCGGTTCAGGAGGTCAATCAACCTAACCAAAGTGTTTTTGTTTGTGCAGCTTCCAAGCCAGAAGAGTTTGGATAGAAATCTTCAAACTGGCAGAACTGAAACAGTTTGGGCCATCAGAATTGTGAATAGTTCTTGCTATTCACAAAAGTGACTTATAAAATTGCTGCCACACTCCAAGCAAAGTTAACTGGGAAGAGTCAGTTAAGTAAGGATTGGGATCAGAGTGAAATTTCTTTGGAATTGTATATTTGTAATGAACAGTGTTCAGAAACAGATTGAAATTTTGTTTTGCTGGTTGTTTTAAGTTTTTTTTTAAACTATAACATATTGTTTGTTTTCTTTATTTTGTGTAATAAAGTTTCATTCCTTTGTTAAAGAACATCTGCAGCCTCCTATCATTATGTATCAGTGGGTAACCACATGCTAACCAACTGCAAAAATAAGATGTAATCTTTCAAGCTAGGTTTCATTTTAGAATATGAATTATCCAGTATTACCATCAACTAGGAGCATAATAAAATTCAAATAATAAACTCGATAGTTTTTTGCTAAACATTCACATATATCTTTTTATAAAGGAAATCTGATGCCCTTACCTGGTCTAGCATATGTGTGTCCCCAAACTAATAGCAATGTAGTTCACTCTTAATTATCCTCTGAAAAAGTCTAGCAAGACACTCAGTTTGAGAGTGCTTAAGGATAGACAACATGCTGACCTTATCAGTAACATCCATACTCTTTGAATTTTTTTTTAAATGAAACATTAACACTGCTAATAGACAGAAAACATAATAATAGAATATTTACTTTTTATTCAAATATTGGAACAATGGACAAAAATTTAATTCACATTTAATTGCTTTTGCTTATGTTTAGTATATTTGACAATGCATTTCCTGTAGCCTGTATGTAGACCATTCTCCAGTGTACGTTATCTCCATCATGCCTGTCCCTCCTTTTTTCCTTTGCTGCTTCCATGTTCTTCTGTCTCCTTGCCATTCCAGCCCCCACATCCTCCTGCCCCTCACACCTCTGTCCATCCTTCCTCTTCCTCTTCTAAAGTGCCTCCAATTTTCTTCATTGCGCATTATTTCTCTCCTTCCCTCTCCTCAGCTTCTTTAGGATTTACTCAACCCTAGACTGTCTCCTGTAACATCTGGTGAGTGTCAAAAAAATTTGCACAGCAAATGATAAAGCAAACACTACAGTGAGCTGATAAAATAGTGTGTAAAAAATGTCATCAATAACAGTAGACATTACACTTTCCTGTACAAATGTTCATCTCGACCCAAGGTGAGACAAATGTCCATTTAATGTTATAATCACGAAGGGTAGTCTGCAATAAAGCTGCACTTGATACCAGTTTTCAGAGGTAAACTTCTACACTTCTTTCACAGTCACTGGCATGCACTCTTCTGGTTTGGTCACAAGTAACGAATTCTTATTAATCCATTTCTGTTGGAGAGAAAACAAAAGATGTTATTTTGCTGTTTGTCAACCTTCTCCAGACGCTGATTGGGTGAGGCAATGTGCAGGTAAAGAGACAGTTAGAAAGTGGGAGGCCTTCAAAACTGAGATAATGAGTGTCCAGACGGAGTATGTTCCTATTAGCGTGAAGGGCAAGGCTGGTTGGTGTAGGGAATGCAGGATGATGTGAGAAATTAAGGCTCTGGTCAAGAAGAAAGAAAAGAAGGCAGATGGCACATATAGGGCGGCACAGTGGCTCAGTGGTTAGCACTGCTGCCTCACAGTGCCAGGGGTCTGGATTCGATTCCACACTTGGGCAACTGTCTGTGTGGAGTTTGCACATTCTTCCTGTGTCTGTGTGGGTTTCCTCCCGCAGTCCAAAGATGTGCAGGCTAGGTGAATTGGCCCTGCTAAATTGCTCACAGTGTTTGTGGATGTGTAGATTAAGTGGGTTATAGGGGGATAGGTCTGAGAGTTGGTGTGGACTTATTGGGCCCAAAGGCCTGTTTCCACATTGTAGGGATTCTATGAAGAGACTGCTGGAATCAAGTGAATCCATCAATTGGTATAAGGGCAGTAGGAGTATACTCAAAAGAAAAATCAGACAGGCAAAAAGGGGACATGAGATAGCTTTGGCAAATAGGGTTAAGGAGAATCCACACAGATTCTACAAACACATTAAGGGCAAAAGAGTAACCAGGGAGAGAATAGGATCCCTTAAAGATCAACAAGGCCATCTATGTGTGGAACCACAGAAGATAGGTATAATACTAAACAAATATTTTGCGTCAGTATTTACTGCAGAGAAGGATATGGAAGCTAGACACCTTGGAGAAATAAACAGTCAGGTCTTCAAAAGTGTTCATATTACGGAAAAGGAGGTGCTGGAGTCTTAAAACGCATAAAGGTGGATAAATCCCTGAGATCTGATCAGGTGTGTCCCAGAAATATGTGGGAAGCTAGGGAAGTGATTGATAGGCCCCGTACTGAGAAATCTATATCTTTGATAGCCACGGGTGAGGTGCTGGAAGACTGGAGGGTGGCTAAAGTGGTACCATTATTTCAGAAAGATGGTAAGGAAAAGCCAGGGATCTATAGACTGATGAATTTGACATCAGCGGTGGTAAACTGTTGGAGGGGAATCTGTGGGACAGGATTTACATGTATTTGGAAAGGCAAGGACTGATTACGAATAGTCAATATGGCTTTATGCGTCAGAAATCCTGTCTCACTAACTTGACTGAATTTTTGGAGAAGTGGCAAAGAAGATTGATGAAGACAGAGTGGTGGAAGTTGTCTGTATGGACTTCAGCAAGGCGTTCAACAAGGTTCCACATGGTAGACTGGTTAGCAAGGTTAAATCAAATGGCATCCAGGGACAGCTAGCCATTTGGATATAAAATTGACTTGAAGGTAGGAGACAGGGAGTGGTGGTGTAGGTTTGTTTTTTAGACTGGAAGCCTGTGACCAGCGGTGTGCTGCAAGAATTAGTGCTGGGCCCATACTTTTTGTCATTTATATAAATAATTTGTATTTTATTTTGGATTTAATTAGGAGGAATGGCTAGTAAGTTTGCAAATGTCACCAAAATTAGTGGTGCAGTGGTCAGTGAAGAAGGTTATCCAAGAGTGCAATGGGACCTTGATCAGATGGGTCAATAGGGCGAGGAATGGTACATAGAGTTTAATTTAGATAAATGCGAGGTGTTCCATTTTGGAAAGGCAAATCAGGGCAGGTATTATACACTTAATGGTTGGGTCCTGGCAATGTCGCTGAACAAAGGAACCTTGGGTTGGAGGTCTATTGTTCCTTGAAGGTGGGGTCCCATGTAGGCAGGGTAGTGAAGAAGGTGTTTTGTTTCTTTATTCATTAACGGGATGAGGGCATTGCTAGCTAGGCAGCATTTATTGCCCATCACCAATTGCCCAGAGGGCAGTTAAGAGTCAACCACATTGCTGTGGATCTGGAGTCACATGTAGGCCAGACCAGGTAGGGATGGCAATTTCCTTTCCTAAGGGACATTAGTGAATCAGATGGGTTTTTCCGACAATCAACAATGGATTCACTGTCATCATTAGATTCCTAATTCCTGATATTTATTGAATTCAAATTCCAACATCTGCCATGGTGGGATTCAACCTGGGTTGCAAGAATGTTATGTGGGTTTCTGGGTTAACAGTCCAGTGACAATACCACTAGGCCATTGCCTCCCCAAAGGGTTTGGTACATTTGCCTTTATTGGTCAATGCATTGAGCATAGGCGTTAGAAAGAATGCGACATAGATTAGGCCACTTTCGGAATACCGTGTTCAATTCTGGTCTCCATGCTGCAGGAAAGATGTTGTTAAACTTGAAAGGGTTCAGAAAAAATTTACTAGGATCTCGCCAGGATTGGAGGGTTTGAGCTATAGACAGAAGCTGGGGCTATTTTCCCGGAACATTTCAGGCTGAGAGCTGACCTTATTCACATCGATAAAATCATGAGGTGCATGGATGTATGAATTGTCAAAGTCTTTTCCCCCAGGGTAGGGGAGTCCAAAACTAGAAGGCATAGGTTTAAAGTGAGAGGGGAAAGATTTAAAAGGAACCTAAGGGGCAACTTTTTCACGCAGAGGGTGGTGTGTGTATGGAATGAGCTGCCAGAGGAAGTGGTGGAGGCTGGTGCAATTACAACATTTAAAAGACATTTGGATGTGTATATGAATAGAAAGGGCTTAGACAGATATGGGCCAAACGCTGACAAATGAAACTAGATTAATTTAGGATATCTAGTCAACATGGATGAGTTGAACCGAATGGTCTGTTTCCGTGCTGTACAACTCAATGACTCTATTGACTCTCTGAGGCTCAGATATGGTGACTCTACAGTCAGATGCTTTCAGACAACATACCACAGGGGATATGAGCTCAAAACACCCACCTTCACCTTTCCTCCCCTTGCCCAATCCATTATTGCCCAGGACACACTGTAGGTGAATGCCACTCACTGTTGGGAGCTTTGTAATGCAAAGGCACATGTAGGAATGGTTCAGTCAGCAAACTCACGCCCAACTCAAAAGATTCTCATGTTCAAATCCCATCAGAGACATAAAATGCACTACCTAAAATGATGCTCCAGTGCGAAGCTGCAGAGATGCAATGTTGTCAATTGCTATCATTCAGATCAGATATTAAGCTGAGCCTCTCCACCCTTAAGTGGATGCAAAATATCCTGAACTATTTCAAGATAAGGAGGCCAACAATATTTATTACTCAATCACTATACTAAAACTGATCATTTGGTCATGATACCACTGCTGTTTGTTGATGTTTGGGCTTTGCAAACAGGCTGTCACAGTCTCTACACTGCAACTCTGATCACACTGCTAAAGAAGTGGCTGAAAATCACGTTGGTGTGTCGTGAGGTTGGGAATGGTGCTGGAAAGTTATTTGTTCATATAAAGCATGCATCCTTTGTGCTTGAGCGTTATTGAGGGTGCTATTCAACTTTGACAGGTTCTGGGGAAGGAAAATGGAATGTTGGCCTTTATTTTAATGGGAATGGACTACAAAAGTAGGAAGGTTTTGCAAAAATTATAAAAGGCACTGGTTAGACCACTGCTGGAACTGTTTTGCATTCCTTATGTAAGGAAAGATTTACTGGCATTGGAAACAATCCAGATAAGATTCACTGGATTGATCCTGGGTATGCAGGGGTTTCCTTATGAGAAGAAGTTGAGTAGGTTGGGCCTGTACTAATTGGAATTTAGAAGAATGAGAGGTGACCTTATTAAAACATATAAGTTTCTTAGGGGATTTTACAGAGTGGATGTGTAAAACTTGATTCCCCTTGAGAGAGAATCTAGGACCAAAGGGTATAAACTCAGAATAAGGAGTTGCTTATTTAAGACAGCAGTAAAGAGAAACTTCTTCTCTCAGAAGGTAGCGAATCTGTGGATTCCCAGAGGGCTATAGAGGCCATGTCATTGAGCATACTCAAGGTTGAGATGTACAGACCTTTAATGCACAAGGAAATCAAGGGTTATGGGGAAAAGGCAGGAAAATAGTATTGAAGGTTATCTGATCAACTACGATCTCATAGAATGGCACAGCAGACTGATGGGCTGCATGGTCTACATCTGCTGCTACATCTCATGGTGTTATTAACAGCCAAGTTTCTTCTTGCTTTTCCTTTAGAAGGGAGGAAAGTGGTGTAGTGGTCAGGTCTGTTAATCCAGAAGCTCAGGCAAATGCTCTTGGGGTTTGGGTACATATCACATCACAGCAACTGGTACAATGTGAGTAAAGTAATTAGTTAAAAAGTAAAAAAAATTTCCTAGCCCTGAGTGTGATAAAAAAGGAGGAAGATCTTGCACTTACGTAACAGAGTCAGTTTTGTCTCACGATAATTTACAGACAATTAACAGAGTTAACAGAGTTAACGTTCAGAACTGAGAATGGGTCACTGAACCCGAAATGTTTACTCTGTTTTGTCCTTCACAGATGCTGCCAGAGCTGCTGAGCTTTTCCAGCAAATTTGTTTTTGTAACCAGCATTAATCCTCCTTATTGGCGACTCATCTCTGCCTGGCAAGAAACTCACTTCAGCGCTTGTCACAAAACGATGGAGTAAGAGCGTCCAAATGTCAGCACAGGCCTTGCTGGACTGCACTTTCTATTCTGCAACAAATCTTGCCAAAGCCCAAATTGCTGAGACCCCTATAAGCTTCACCCAGCCTAAACAAAGACAATTTTACATGCCCTGGAGTATTATTTTCTGTCTTTGTCATTTATTATTGTAGCTTCATACCTGAAAATCGCCATCACATTCTTCAAAGAGGCCCTTGAACTTCTCCTTAGGATCGGGGATTGGTTGACACGCTTTTGACCATAAGTTGAACCTGGTAAGAGTACAAAAATGCAGCTGTGTTATTTTTAGAATATTTTGCTGAAGTTATCATGTGAATTGAAGAAATAGGTGCAGGTCCAGGCCATTTGGCCTCTCCAGATACTCTACCATTCAATCAGATCATGGCTGATTTTCTGCCCCAACGCCATTTTCCTGCACTATCCCCATGTCCATTAATATAATTAACATGTAGAAATCTCTGTCTTGTACCTGGTCAATGACTGAGTTTCCATTGCTCTCTAGCATTGAGAATTCTAAACATTAACCATCTTGTGAGTGAAGAAATTCTTCCTCTTCGTTTAGGGGTGGCATGGTGGCTTAGCAATCAGCACGACTGCCTCACAGCACCACGGAGTCAGGTTCAATTCCACCCTTGGGCGACTGTCTGTGTGGAGTTTGCACGTTCTCCCTGTGTCTGCGTGGGTTTGCTCTGGTTTCCTCCCACAGTCCAAAAATGTGCAGGTTAGGTGGATCGGCCATGCTAAATTTCCCCGTAGTGTTTAAGGATGTGCAGGCTCGGTGGGTTAACAATGGTAAGTATGGGGTTATAGGGATAGGATGGGATGCTCTTCAGTGGGCTGGTGTGGACTCGATGGGCCGAAAGACCCCTATCTGCACTGTAAAGATTCTATGATTCCTTATCTTAGTCCGAAATGGCTTACCCTATTTTGAGGCCGTGATTGCGGAATTTAAATAACATTGCCTCCACCCGCACACGATTTGCGCCCCTCCCAGCCAAGGGACATCATCTACCCTATCAAAGATAGGGCAAAAGATTGGGCAAAATGTTATAATAATAATTTCAACCCATCTCAATTTCCAGCAGAAGGTAGATATATCCTTAGATAACGCTGCTGTCTACTTAGCTGCAAAAAGCTTCCCTGACTCAGCAATTTGTAGCTTGAAGAAAGGGATCATGTTGTCTGTCTTTATTCAAGGACATGAACTCTGTTTTTTACATGGCGATAGTATATCTATCTACATTAGTATATCTATTTGATTTCCAGTCCAAGATGGCGGCAGGGTAGGATGCTTCAGCTGGAGTTTGTCCGCTCCACCATTATTTTTCTTCTCTTTTCTTCTCTCTTTATGTTCTTCTTTTCTTCTTCTCTTTCACCCCAATGACCCCTGGCACAAGGTCGACTCCCAGCCTCTGACAACACCTGGCCTCAGCACTAACAGGACGATGGGTTGTCCCAGTATGTCGTAACTGCCTCCCGTGGTGGTCTCTTGGCCTGGCATGGCAGGACCCCCAGCAGGGTCTGGTGGCCTTGGGGCTTGGCATAGCAGCGTCCTGTGGCAGCCCCCTGGCGTGGCTTCCTCTCGGCCCGGTGTAGCAGCCCACTGGCTGGACATGGTGATCTCTAGGCCTGGCATGGCCTCAGTATGATCTCCCGGTCTCGAGGTGTTTCCAGTGCCATCTCCCAATTACATGAACCTCGAGGTGAAACCTGGCACAGACTGGAGCCAAGACCCAGTGTGGACTGGAGGCTTGGTGCCAGCGTGGTCTGTGTTGGAAGACCATTATTCTGAATTTTTATTCCTACAATGTTGTACTTTTTGTTTTTCTAAGACCTTTCAACTGAATAAGCTGTATCTAGATACCTTTGTACATAAAATAGCACTGTAAGTGGTGACATAGAAACTTTTCACTGCACAAACTTGAGTATGTGACAATAAAGCTAACTCAATTCAATTCTGTTCAATTCAATTCAGTTCAATACATTAATGGTAACTCCGACTGAGATTATTATGCGTAGTGTGAGAATTGAAAGTTTACAACAATCAGGAAGGATGAATCAGGCTTGGGATTTTCTTCATTAAGGAATAGTACTCAGAGATGATCTGATGGAAATTCTAAATGGATTGGACAAAGTAGATATGGAATCCAGAATAACATTAATTCACTCAGAGATAGTAGGAACTGCAGATGCTGGAGAATCCGAGACAACAAGGTGCAGGGCTGGATGAACACAGCAGGCCAAGCAGCATCATAGGAGCAGAGAGGCTGACGTTTCGGGCCTAGACCCTTCATCAGA